GTCCAGTGTGAGTGCAAGAGCAGCTTGTTGTCCTGCTTGCTTCAGAGTGCGGACATTGAACGCGGCCAGATAGACTGGGTGTCGAGGCTTAAGGATTGAGTTGGAGATTCCTGAAGATGTCGGCACCATGTGACGAGCAGATTTGCACGCAAAACCGATGCATGACGAACGGAGTCATCAGTCCTAAGTGCTGGGCCTACAAGGAGAGAGTTATTAATGGGGTGGAGAGAGGGGAAAGAAAAAGTATGTGAAGGAGGAAGAAGGGGGGCGTCAGCAGTAGCCTGTTTTCGCTTACCCGCCCTGCTGTATGCAGCAAGTAAGGCGACCCGGCTGATGGAATCACGCGACGGCCGATGTGGCATGAATTTATTTGTGTATGTGCAATTCATGGTTGTACGTGGGCTGGGATACTGCCAGGGCGCCCACACCTAGACAGGAGGTCGATTAGGGTCCTCAACCAAAGCCTTTGGTTCAAAAGCCTAACTGCAAGACAGCGGTGTTTGGCGGGAAATGCAAATGCATTACCATTTCTACGGAACAAGTCGCCACATGTTCCAACCCCCAACCTGGAGGGCCAGGAGACTGTTCGTCAGACCTCTAACCATTGACCAACCTGGTATGAGAGACTCTGTGAGTGTCACGGGACAATCTCCAGTATAGCTCAATGGATGGCTGAGGTGCGCAAACCGTCACACCACGGTAAGGTCCAGTCTCTTCGTGACGGTTTCACTACCATCGTAAACCGCGTTAGACCCCAACCTTTTTGTGTGCCCTATGTGTAGTCCACCACAGTATCTAGCGCACCTGAAAATTATAGTTCCGTTTGTTCAAACAATATCAAGTTCCTACGTCGAAGTACTGTCATTTTTGGCAGATCTACATTGTGAACAAGTCAATTGTTGTGAGAAAACCCAGTAACACTAGAATGACCTACGAAAGCGCAGAAAATGTCTTTGTCTCGGTGACCTTCTTTTGGGACTGTACGTAGTTCCGAGTCTGTTAATAATCGAAATCGGGCAGAACATTTGCGTCCGAATCCATCTTTGATGAAAGAAGTAAATGTGCGTCCGTCCTGCAACTCAACTACTGTCCATAATAAATGCATCTTTGGCCCGTACCCAAACAATCAGTTAGTCGCAGGCAACTACGAAATACGTACTTAGATCTCCTGGACCCTATAGGCTATGTTCCGGAATTCAGGTCATTTCTGGGTATTTGTTGCTAAAATACTCTTTAACTCATTGGTCTAACGTAAACCCCATTGGAGTTAAGCTTCGGATCGTTTAGATAGCACCCGAAATTGAGGTGGAAGGTGCTTTCGAGATAACCGTCGATTAGATTCTGTGAGACCATACTGTTAGACTTTGTTGATGGCAAGAGCTTGACGCTTTTGAACTTATGTTGAAACAGTTGCAAAGACATCCTCAATATAATCACCGGTTTTCTTCAAAAGTTAAAAAATATCTGTGTACATAATCACTGACAAGCAGGATGGAATACGTTCGTGCATTACAAAGCAGTTAAGGGCATTATGGTATAAAATGGATTTGGTTGAACATGATTTGTTGAACGTGATTTCGTTCGTTTTTTTTAAATTTGTTGTTGATACTGAAAGTGTGTACTTCAAGTAGAACTCAAAGATCAGGGTAAAAAATGTATCACAGTAGTCCTCCTCGAGCCAGATTTCTTCGGATAATCACATCCGTAACGGAATCAAACACAAATTGAATGTTGCTTGTGTCAGTAGCACAAGTAAAGTGGGTATAGATTTCCTTTGTGGCTTGTTTGCGATTCAATGCCTCATATCTGTGCTGAATATACAGAGAAGCCTCTTCGTAGGTGTTTGCACCTGCAGTTCAGATAAGTACGAAGAATGTCAGTCATATTTTGGTAAACCAAAGGGAAATTAAATGCAGACATTTCAATCTAACTAAAGAAAAACAAGAACGTTTTGAACTATTTTAAAGAACTTGTGGAGACATAATGCGGACAATGTTAGACGCATGTGACCTGGACAGTCAGAGATGGAAAGTATATTCAAGTACCCGTCTTTGGTCCCAGGTACGCAGTTATTATTAGTGGGGAAACCTGAACTCTTTTTTGCTAAGCTATATTCTGGAACATCTATGTGCTCAAAAGTAAACCAGTTCACTGGCTTTGTACGAGACTGCCGCTTGGAAGTGAAAATTTTACCAGTAGCCATGATATGCCTATTAACTGTGGTATACGTTGTCCTGCGTAAAAGCTCAACACCAAAGAGTTCGGTATATTGGTTTCGGTGTGTCCCTTTGAACAGATTCGACGGTTTCCCACTGAAAACACGATAGAATTGGAGGCAATCGATTTGTTTTCTCTCCATTGCCCTTAAAGGCTCCTCGGCATTTACTTACAGCAGTTCACAGCGAAAGCGAGTGACGGACTTTTTTCATCTTAGATTTTGATCCTGTAAACGGTAAGGAGTGCAGCTCCGTATAGAACAGATTTTGAAGGTGTTGACGTTTATAGGTCCTGGAGACTGCAGCTGGGATTTTCCCCACATAAGCATTCGACCAAAACATACGCATTATACCTATTAGGTGATTCGGAAATACACAACGTTTCTGTGGTTTATTAAACTTTGTATGACAGTGGGATCAGCAAACGCTTTTTTAAAACCACTCGCATACAAGTGGTCTTTTACCTCAGCCAACACATGCCTGGATAGAATAAATGGAAAACCGCAATTAAACATTATAACCACTGCTGATGGAAAAAGTCATTCTTTGTTCGTACCTCCAGTTGTTTGAGCACACATTACATGAATCTAAGCTATAAACTCAGGTAGAAGTGTGTATTCATGTTAAGGGAACACAGAAAACCAGTAGGATATTCTGGGAGATTAATATGGAAAAATTTATTGCTTTATTTCTCTGAACAGAATACCGTATATATCTGCCCAATAGAAGTTACCGTTCTACACATTATTCCTCATTTCTAACTTATCAACTTCTCGTGCTTAAGTTTAAAAACTTATTGGATCTTGGGCGTAGAATTATTGAATCAAACTACATGCATAATAATTAAAGTCACAGTAGGATATAGATGAGGTGGTAGTATTTACAAGAGAACCACTAGATTTACCACAAGATGTCCTGGTTTATCTTCACGGAAGACCAGTGATGACCCAATTGTTTACCCTTCAATCTAGCAATGATAGAATGCACGCTCTCTGTCATGACCGAATACACGGTTCTTAATTGTACTTGTTCCTCATTGCACCCTTTCTTTCAACTTCCTGTCTGAAGGGTCTGTTTTGGAGCCTCCAGAGTTTTTGAAGAGCATTCACACTCAAAACCTGATGGACATCTGTTGTAGTTCATGTTGAATGTGATGCCCTTACCTAAGTAAGCCTGTGTCCTCTTTTTCTTTGAATTAGTTTACCCACAATAGTATTGATAAGAGATGAAAGTACCCAAATTATGTTTGGATCCTCAGCAAAAGAGCCACAATAAATCTTCACTCGACAAACTGGTAAGTGTTGGCATCAATTAAGTATGGACATTTTATGACAAGTACACGGAGCACTCCCATGGATCCCATGGGTCTGCAGCGAATAATGAGTCGCTGCCGAGCCATTCTAGTGCGTGATCAATGTTGTTACAAGTATGTTGTACCTTACGCGTTTGCCAAAACGTTTGGTGGCACCCAAACGCTCAAAGCGTGGAAGTAAAAATTCCACTGCGGTAGCCCTAAAATTGTGTGAATAGTGGATCAGAACTTTTAAGAAGGAAAGCTGCAACAGCGGAAAATGAGGTGAGGTCTTTTAGAGAAGCTTGAAACAACCTCAAAACATTTTCACTTGCACACACGAATCCATTAATCACAGATCTAATATCTCGTTTTGTGATATCGCAACTACTCCTATAAGATACACTGCTTACACATTCGTTCATTGTTACTTGACATATCATCTATTCCACCTTCGACTCTATTCCTTGGTCTTTTTGAGTGTACAGCTATAAAAATAAACAATAACGTCGGTAGCAAATGCATTTGGTGATCACATCATAACTCGTGTCCGGAAATAATGTTACTACTCGTTGTTGCTGAGTACTCAACCGCCCTGATCGAAAAACCCCACAAACACCTTAGACTAACAAACTTCTGACACTAAGTTTTCAAATTTCGCCATAAGCTAAAGATGAATAGTGCCGTATCAGGCTACTGCTACTGATTGCTGATTACTGACATAAGCGATGCAGGATACGAATGATGCCAACCCAGGTTTTGCAATGCAACTTGGTATCAGCGTTCAAACAAATTACTTTGCGTTATGATCAGTGAACACAGAAATAAATACTGACTAACCTGTGTATTCCGGAAAGCAACAATTCAACGGAGACCTGACAATTTTCTCCATTAGAAGGTCGCGCTTATTCAGAAACAACAACATGCTGGTATCAGCGAACCAACTATTGTTGCAAATCGAATCAAATAACTTCATCGATTCAACCATTCGGTTCTGAGAATAAATTAGAAGGGAGAGGACCCATGATATATGTGTATATAAGCGAGGTATTTTGTATATAAACCAAGTATATACAATGCGAAAGCAAAGCAAGAATCACTGCATGTACACGAGACCTGGAAGTCCGTTACTTGAGATGCGTTAAAAGCTCATTATCGCACGTTAAATGCTGTACGAAAATTTATTTCGTACACCCGTACGCAGATCTAATATCTTGATCTGCCAGTTTGTTGGTGGTAGATTTCTGAGTAATACTTACTGAATAACATGGGATTTGAGACTTGAGGCACAGAATGTGCTCTCTTTTCATAAACGACACCGAATTTCGCGTAGCTAACAAGAAGCAACAGATTGCTCAAAGCCCAGTCTGTTCATCAAAATGCATTTCATTCATGGAACACGTTCTTTTCAAAGAAGCAAAGTCACATCGCGGTACAGAAGAGCTGGGGAGCAGAACACCTGCGTCGAGTATCTTCGAGAAAATTCAACAAAAGTAGACGCAGAGAAAAATTTCCCGACGACGATAACGGCAGTATAACCTTCGGGATTACATCCTTATTCATACCAAGGCTACCGCAACCAATAGTAAAACTGCTAGCCTAAAAACCAGGTGCTCTTTTGCGGAAAGAGATTTTGAGATTTAATGACAAAACCGATGAGATTACAAGAAACAGTGAAATATACCGAAATATCCGTGTGGACTGTCACAAAATGAACACGTTACGCACAAACGTTTTCACATAGATGGGCAAATGAAATCCATATCCACAATCCATTATCCTTGGTTTCCATAAATAAGTATCAAGCAGATGTGTGAAGGCTATGGTCCCTGGAAAACCGCTACGAACTCCGTAGCCGATGTAGAAAGTAGACCGACGAATAAATCAATAAGAACAGAAGCATGTCAACATAATGGGATAAATTAAATTTAACCGTCACCATTATCGACCATCCAAACAGCTAATCGAAGTATACATTTGGCCTGCAGGAAATGTGTAAACGCCGACATAGCACTACTCAGTCTGTACTCCTACACAAACCTAATCTCCTGTGCACTGGCGACACAAGCTCGATTGTCAACAAAACGTTTACAACCAGATTGCTTAGCAGCGACCGACAAGGATAATTAGAGATAGTACGGGATATGAAAATAGAATATGAGGTTTCCTAATGAGCTCTTGCAAGAGAAGGAATATAATCATTTGGTAGCGAGTCGTTCGCCGACTGAATGCTCTTTTGGCCAACGTCAAACAACCTGTAGGGCAACGGCAAGGTGGAAAAGCAAAATTTCATGGAGAAAATTAACAGCCATAAGCCCATCTTAAAACTTTGTGGTACGCTGCAGTGGATGAGCTTGTGGAATGACCTCGTTCCACCTGCCATGACAGTTTTTGTTCTCTGGTCGACATGGGTTTCTGTCCATTCCGATGGTGAGTCCTGAACCCAACAGATGGTCAGTTCTCCCAGAAAGACGTGGTACTTCCCTATCAAAGTTCTCGGTGTACATGCCTTAGGTCCAGCTTTTTCTGATAGGCAGAAGATTCCTGAGGCGGAACCTATTGTGTCTGAACCCATGCTGTTCCGGAGGCGGTAATTTTTGTCGCCCCAAATGTGCCCACAAATGATTTGCCAACACAGATTCCATCACCCTGGATAGAACCGGTGGAAATATGATTCAGCTGAACCTAAATAAACTACCTTCTTGCAGATTTGCATTATAACCACGTACTTCTGTTTTTTGGTCGAAGTGAGTGCCATAAGGAGGGACAATGTCGTTGCTGTGGCTACGGCCTAGAAGCGCTGGTTCTAGGGTGTATGTTGTTATTACCTCCAAGAGGGATTAGAGTCTGTGATCCACTACCACCGAACTATGTAGCTCTTTTGTCTCGTCTTCAACCAGTCGCAATTCACCATTCACTTATTTGTGTTGCCACGGATATCGCTGTTCGTGTCAGTGCATTTACGGCAGACTTCTATTTTTGACACCAAGTCGATCAGGAGTACTATACGATGAGCGAAGTTTATCTAGCCGTCCCCTTATAGCAGCGTTTGTATGAAGTCCCTGTTGTTAGCACGTACCAGCCCATGCGGATCTTGAAGATTGGTTTTGATTCTAGCCGACGATAGGTGATGTAGAGGAATTTTATTAATACGTGCTCACTGCAACCAACCGAATTTCCAAAGCTTCCACCATGATTTCCTTTTCTGTCAGGTTAAGGTCACGAAGGAGTGGAGTGTTGGTATCTCGGTAGTCAGCTGGTTGTTTCACATGGTTGGACTGCGGCACGTAGGGAAATACATCTGGCCGTTTCCTGTCAGAGTCGGACTAACGGGAGTTAAGCAACTTCGAAGTCGTCCATGAGCGTAACACAGAGTTGTTGCAGTGCGAAGGGCGGCTAATATATGATCGTCCTGGGCTGCGTTATTAGGAAGGCGTTCCATTCCCGCTTTGATGCGTATGTATTACTGATGAATAAGAGAGTGAAAAAGACATTGCTTGCTACCTGCAGGGAATTGTGGCGCAGAAACATGCATGCTAGTTTGTTTCGGTAGTAGGCCGCGACCCCGTGGCTTCAAGTTTGTCCGTCGAGTCCCACGAGTGACTTGGATTTCTGAATACAGTATGCCCTGGTTAGTCACATTTCTGTCATCGCACTGAAAACTTCAACTGCATATGATGTCGGACCAGTGGTTTAGCATTTTTGCTGGGGAGACCGCAGATGTAAGGGTGGCAGCAGGTTGTTGACAGTATATAACCCGTCTAAGTAGATAGTCTAGTCTATCGTCAACGGGCGTATAGGAGGTTGAGGAGCACGCATGGAGATTGATAATGTCTTTGTCAGCAAGGTGTTCCGAATTGGGAGGTTGCCATGTGGCATTTGTCTAGGTTTGCTATGGATCGGGAGTGAGACCCCTGTGGTTTCAGCGCGCAGCAGCAGCTCTGGAGAACTTATGTCGCTGTGCTGATACCAGGTACCTAGTATCTGAGACACCGTGTCAGGGGACAGCGAGGTGGGTTCAAAAATTTATGCACCACTTTCCTTTGGGTGGCCTGAAGTGAGCAGGCTCTCTGCTGTAGTGGTCCCACAGCAGAAATTGTTCAGAATTTCCTGAAAGTACTTCGATTCAGTGCAGTCATTGCGGCTGTTAGTTACCGGGGCCGCGTACGTTAACACTGGCATTCCGTGAATAGAGACCACAATGCTGTCCCTTTTTTGTTCTAGCATTGTGGTGGTCTGCATAACAGTGTTTGATCCCCCCTGTCCAGGGAACATCCGAGTATCTGCGAAGCATATACATGTGCTGTAAAATATGGTTTGGGAGGAACTCGGCTTCCATGTCCTTCATTCTACTACGAGTGACGCCTAAAAGGCAGGATCCTTCTGAATCTTATACAGTGGGCTCCTTTGTGGGTCTAGTTAAGGCCTTGGGCTTCACAGGAAGAAACGTGATGAAACAAGCTGATCTACAGTTCTCGTTTTTTTTCTACCTTTCTGGCTTTCAGGGGACATATTGAATCTTAGCATAAAGGGCAGATCACTTGAAGTAATTTTGAGCTTTCCTCTTCTATTGATTTTATCGCAAATGAGGCTTGCGGGGTTGATAAGTAACCTTAAGAGTGTCCGGTGGTTTGGTTACCCTGTGATATCAAAGCGTTTGGTTCAGCGGTACTTGGGTCAGGTGAACTGAAAGTATACTTCGTACTTGTTCGTTCTCATCTCGTCGTTGATAACAACCGCGACTAAATCTTTCATTTTTGTCTTTTAATTCGGCATGCATCACACGTGATCAGGCCAAAGAGTTACTGATGATGATTTATGTGTGTGAATTTGTATCCTTATTGACGAAAACCTGACGTATGGTTTTGGAAAGCTAAAACTATAGGTAGACGGGAATACTTCTGTTTGCTCGTGACTGCATAGAAGGTGCATTCATTAATTTGCCGAATTGAGTCACCAGCCACTTCTTATGGAGAGAGCTAGTCCGCAATGACTTAAGCTTAACTATCAATTCAAAAATCTATTTGGTTGATTATGTGGTCATGAGTATGATTTCTCTCTACTACTCCTAGTTTGATGGTTATAGAGAACGGCAATAATATACTTAGGCAAAACGAACTTTAAAGAAAACGTGGGACTAATATACTTATACAAATAATTATAGGATATGGAGCTGGTCGAGGAGATCCAATAATGCACTGTTCATGCATCGATTAGCGGGCAAAGGGTCATAGGCAAGGCCACTTTCGAGTAACATTTGTGAGTCGAAATCTCAACCTAAAAGAACATGACCATCTGTGAAGAGAAAGTTTATGTCGAACTCCGTAAAACATAAGCTGTATACCAATCAAGAAAATAAGTACAGTGAATACCTGTTTCGCGTTGCTAATTTTGTGACCTATTCTTTTCGACCCATCTAATCGCACACCTTACTGACAACCTTAGTGACGTAACCTGACGGAAATTTAGTTGGCATACAGAGATTTCCGCTCAAAATTTCGGCGCGCTGTGGCTGTTATATGGGTTAAACTAAGGCAGTGGTTTGTCAGTCAATCTAATCTCACCAACGCGAAGTTTGCCGAATAAGCATGTGACAGGCATATGAAACCGTGCTGCGGTGACACACCATCCGGTCACCCAACAGTCACTAATGCGGTTGAACAAAGCCACACCAGGTTGTCTGGTATTAGTATTCAGCAACAATTTTGTGTGAACAAAGCATAGAATTATATTAGAGAATAGGTGTATTCAAGCGCTAACCGGTGTAAAACAATAAGTCCATATGTAGAATGCTGGTACAATCTCAAATGACCTTTGTTTCGGTGGGGACTATGACTCTACTCCGCATATACTGAACGAATCGATCGAACGCATAGTCCGTGTAGTAATGACACGTCAGTCTGTATGTGTCTGCGTGCTTCAAAGTACTTTGTCTATGGTTACTCCGCTTGGTAATGAATCCCAGAATGGTGAATATTGGTTCGTCAACACATG